GTAAAATTTCCAAGGGAAAAAAAAATCATTTAATGCAGCATTTTGTTAAAAATCAACATGGTGACTGCAAAAATGGGCTTGAACGTGACAGGGATCAGGATAGCACAGGCTCAGACACAGTTTCATTCTTGTTCATAGGGTCACTATAAACTGCAATCACCTCTTCCACACCTAACAACAAAGAAGGTTTATCTGTTTATCTTAAATGTAAAGAAACCATTTTTTACTCTTTCCTATACCTTAAAACAAGAAATAGATACAAGTGTTTCTAGGATTCTATAGTTCCTGTAAAATCTAGATTCCTAAATTTCTTCGTTGGTTCAACTTTTATGCAGATGTTTTAGAGCCTCTGAGTTAAACTCATTCCATATTATACCAGAAGATCAAGAGGTCATAGTTAAATGATAATAGGCTTTTGTTAACAATTTCTATTGTGAGTTTCCCAAATTCCCACCTGCTTTTTTCCTTATTTACAAATGACATTTCTGAAAGCTGCCAATTTTGTTGTTAGGTGCCATCACATTGGCTGTGACTCACAGTGACTAGGTGAACAGCTCGGAATCCTGTTCTATCCTGCACCGTCCTCTTGATGCCTGGCATTCTTACTCCCACTGTTAGTCACTATCTCAGTCCATGTGTTTCCGTGACCTTCCACATTTCCAAGCTTGGGGGTCTTTTCCTCTGGGACTTTTCCCTTCTGACAACATAATTAAAGTATGTGAGATGAGGTTCCACCATCCTTGCCTCTGAGGGGCGCTCTAGTTGTACTTCCTCTAAAACAGACTTTTGTTCTTTTTGCAGTCTGTGGGATAGTCCATATTCTTCAACACCACAACTCAAAGGCATGAAATTTTCTTCTGTTTGCCTTTCTTGACAGAAGATTTTCCCAGTAGTATGCTAACTAAAAAACATGGCAGATGGCAGAGACCTATAGATTGTTATAGCCTGCAACTTGACCTTGTAGCCTGGGTATACCCTCCCTACTACTCCTAAACTAGTAGGGAGTACATCTTATGTGTTGGGAAACCTTTTAGAAGTTCAATGCTATATTTGCCTTACTTAACTCTGCTTGACATAACATCTTTCTGTCAGCAGGCTTGTTTCCTATGTAGTTCTCCCATGTAATGTTAAATAGCATTATATGACATGTTTAAATCTATCTATTCTTCTCCCTACAGCTAATGAAACTAATTGTTCTATACATGATTGTCTACACTTGACAGAGCAACTTTGAACCCCTTGAGAAGACTTAAAAGATATTTCTTGAACTAATCCTGGCCTAGTTTTATTTATGGATTGTGTCTATTGGTAACTGAAACCTTGGTGCATTAGAAAGGCTTTCAAAACCTAACTCTGTCTGTCCTCACTGTCAAGCTGGATGCACTGTTCTAACTTCTGCTGAAAACATTGTGTGATAATTGCCCTCACTAGAGCTTATGGGATTGCCTAGAGGAAATTTTAATATGCTTACAGATGGTAGATGTTGTTGTTAAGTGCCATCACATTGGAACTAACTCATGGCTGACCTTTAAGCAGGTTTTCAGAGGCTGTGAATCACATAGGAGGAAATTTGTAATCATTCTTCCCTCAGGGCAGTTGGTGGATTTGAACCACCTTCCTTTGTTGGCAGCACAACTCTTATCATTTGGACACCAGAATTCACTAAGTACTTTTTTCAATTGTTTATAAATTTTGCATGTTCTTAAAACAGAGGATTTTTAGCCTCTTCTGTAAATAGCATAAGAAATGGAGCTTTAGCAGTAAGAGTTTTACATGTTCTATTACTGTCTTCTGAAATTGTTGTGATAAAAATACAAGCTAACCAACCAAAAGGAATACTTCAAACTGGAAGAAATAGTAGGAAATAATCTTGCTACTATGGCAGCCAAACAAGCACTCTTTCAAGTTATTTCTGCACTTAAATAAAGAGACGCCCCATAGATGCTGTATCGATAATTACAACCTTCATGAGTTAACATTAGAAACATTATAAAAATATCATAGGTAGTTTAAACAGATGGAATTAAGGCATAAAAAGAGATGATAGGCGGTTACCAAAATTCTACCACTAAATTGTGGACTGGGCCTAATTAAAAAATTGTCTGACCCAGTTTCCTGCATATTCCTATAATGGAGCCTTACATGAAAGTTCCCACAGGGGACAAGATGAAATGATTGAGACCTTTAGAAAATTAGGAGGGGACGTTTTTCAGGCTACCTAACATGCTACCACCTATTGCCCTGTATTTTTTCACTTTTCTCTCGGAAAACACCATAAAGTTCTATCTGGACAATACTTATATCCCTCCAGGCCTATGCATAAATGACGCATTATTCAGCTTCCACCAAGGTTGGAAAGGTAGCTCTTAATTTTTTCACATTTGCTGCAGTCATGCTTCTACTGTTTGTCTCAACTGGGCTTGCTCTTTTTAAAAGAGTTAATTATTGGGTGTATGGTGCCCTCCACACGTCTAGTCAGTCTGCCCTTCCTTATATAAATATTATTTTATGTGCTTAGTTTGAGTAATTTCTGAATTCCAGCATGGCAATGATCTATGTAACATAGCAGAACAGATGTTGTTGTTGTTAAGTGCCATTGAGTTGAATACAACTATTTGTGACCCTATGAACAACAGATATGAACCCTGTCCTAACCTGAGCCTACCTCACAATCTCTCATACACCCAAGCCCATTGCTGCAGTCACTGTATCAATCTACCGGTTGGTTGAAGGTCCTCCTCTCCTTCATCATTCCTCCACCTTTCCAAGCATGACGTCTCTCTCCAAGGAATAGCCTCTCCTAGTAACATGCCCAAGGAAGCTCTTGGATGCAAAGGTGATGAAACTTTATCTCACATACTTTGAGTTGTACGTGACCTGACATCACCACCACCACCAACAACAATGGCAACATGCCACTCTGGCCACACCTTCTCCAAGACATACCTGTCCTTTTGGCAATCCATATTCACTCTTCTCCAACACCACAGTTAAAAGGCATCAGTTCTTCTGTCATCCTTATTTATTGTCCAGCTGTCTGAGGCATAGTAAGTGACTGAAAAGACCATAATCTATATTTATATGTTCTGTGAAATAGGCACATGATTCAGTTCCACCAACTACTCTGGGAGAAAGATAAGCAGTTTCGTCTCAGGCATTTCACAGCCTCTGAAAATCTACTGGAGAGTCAGCTATGAATTGGTTCAAACTTGGTACAACGATATTGTACTGTTCTATGCATAAAAAATGAAAGAAACACTTCCACATATATTAAAGTATCTTTGACATTATAATAATAATGGGAGGGGGGTTTAATAGTAATGTTTTTATGTGTGTCACAAGGTAATACCCATTTGTTGTTATGGACCATTGTATGTACTTCACATTCTTGATATAACAGATTGTATAAGAGTTGAAACTACAGATATACATGTGGCCAGACAGTGCCAGGATAGATGTTACACAACACTTGGATAATGGTTTGTTAGATTATAAAGACAGTACTTTTATTGAAAACTTCAAGATAAAATACCTTAAAAACTCTTCATAAATGTATCAAAGCACTAACAAATTAGAAATAAAAATTATCATGCCAAATTTCAGAAAAAATGTAAATTCCTTCAGGGTACAAATGGCTAACGTGCTTGGCTGCTAACCCGAAGATTGTGGTTTTTTTGGGTTTTTTTTTAATTACTATTTTTGTGTGCGTGTACCGTCAAATCAGATCTGACTGGTACAGGAGGAAATTGTCCCTCCTTCCCCGGCAGAGCATCTGGTGGATTCGAACCGTTCGCCTCTGGGATTATAGTTGCAGCTCCTTGCCACTAGGCCACCAGAGCTCCCCATCGAAGATTGTGGTTTTAAGTGTGAGCAGAGTCACCTCAGAAGAAAGAGCTGGTGGTCTGCTTCCAAACTCCAGCCATTGAGAACTGTGTGGAGCACAGCTCATCTCTGACACACGAGACCACCATGAGTTGGAATTGACTGGAAGGTAGTTGGGTTTTGTTGTTGTTTATATGAACTAAGAGGTTAGGTCACTTGAAGCACTGTTGGCTTTAAAGGTGCCTCCCTGTCCATCTACACAGAGTTATGATTTAGACGGACCCAGGACGGGGAGTTACCAGATTCCTGCCTCATAGGGGTTCAGTGGAAACCCTCTCACATACCATAAGCTCACAAAGAGCTGCTCTCTCCATCTTCAAGGAACTGGGCAGAGGAATCCACTGACTCAGCGCAAAGCAGAGAGGGAGGGAAGGAAGGAGGACTCTGCTGTTTTATACATGTTGGGGCTTCAGGGTGATCATCCGTGAGCTCTTATTTCTTAAACTGTTCTTGAGTAATAGTTACATGAATGTTTGCTTTTATAATTATTTCCAAAACAGAGTATACCTTCTTTATTAATTTTTCTGCATGTGTATTACATATTACATAATAAAGAATATAAATTTAAAATTCATTTTTAGTTTATGTCACTTTAAACTTTTTCAGCTACTCTACATCTACTACCATCATTAGGGTTCTGATTCATAGGAGCCTCCATTGAGTTTTTACGGCTGTGAATCTCTATGAGGAGCCTGGCCACCTTTCTCCCTCAGAACCATCAGTGTGTTTGAACCCCGAGCCTTTTACTTAGCAGTCAAACATGCTGTGCACACTGCCATCACAGCTCCTTAGTGATTCCTTCACAGAAAAGAAAAGGAAAACCCATGGAAGTTAAATGACTTTACAGTCTCTTACTTGTAAGCAAATGTTTTCTTTCCATTTCTAAAGATCAGTATTTTCTCTGTTGTTTATAAAAATGGCTCTTCCAGATGTTGTAACTGCCTGCTTTTAAGTTTCCTCTTGAAGTATTGAGGTGGAATTCAGGTTAAACGTCCCAAATGTATTCTTTATAGAATGAGTTTGGTGGGTTGGGGCAGAGAATTCTCTCTGTTTGTGTTGGTGGAATCCATGCCCTGTGAATATTTATGGAATGGTTATCTGCCTTTCTTTGTTTTCAGAAGGCGAAGTCTTTACCTGGGGTCATAATGCCTATAGTCAGCTGGGCAATGGGACGACTAATCACGGCTTAGTCCCCTGTCACATCTCCACTAACTTGTCAAACAAACAAGTCACCGAGGTTGCCTGTGGATCTTTCCACTCTCTGGTGCTAACATCTGATGGAGAGGTAAGACTAGTCCGCGGAAGAAACACCGGCTTTTTTTCATTCAGTGTACACATCCTTTTACTAATCCTGAAAGAGTGATGGTGTGATTAAAATAACTACTTCCCTCAATGTTGTTCTTATTTTTTGTGGCACTTCATAGCCCTGCTGCTTATACTGTGATGTTTACCAATATGTAGTAAGAATTTAAATAACTAGAATTTTTATACTTTTTTTTTTCATTTTATTATCCTGAAGGGGAATATAAAACCTCCAGATAGCAGAAAATGTGACTGAGGCCAAGTGGCTGTTTTAACAGGTGTTGTCTATTTGACAGTGATTCTTTCTGCCTGTGAGTGGAACTGGATAAAGGCGTCCACTTTGCTAAGAATGTGTTGGTTCATGTATGTGGAACACTCCAGGGGAGAGGAGGGCCACGTGCATTCATTCCCCCGCGACGCTGTAACGGTGCCGGGTTTTATCGAGCGTCCTCATCTTCCTCACAGGTGTTTGCCTGGGGCTACAACAACTCTGGGCAGGTGGGATCTGGATCCACAGCGAACCAGCCGACCCCTCGGAGGGTCGCTGGCTGTCTGCAGAATAAAGTAGTCGTGAGCATTGCGTGCGGACAGATGTGCTCCATGGCGGTCGTGGACACTGGCGAGGTAGGAGACGGTCCCAGTCATTGTTTAAGAAGCCCATTTGCTGACCCGTGTCGCACCAGTCCGGCTTGTTTCTCCTAACAGGGAATTTGGTTGCTCTTTGTTGCTCTTTTCTTGAGATTCTTGCTTTCTTTTCAGGTCTTTGTCTGGGGTTATAATGGAAATGGGCAGCTTGGACTTGGCAGTAGTGGCAACCAGCCAACCCCCTGTAGAATATCAGCTTTGCAAGGCATTCGCGTCCAGCGGGTACGTCCACCCTTGGTTGTGTGTGTGCGTTTGTGTGTTTTGAAGGCATACGTGGCAAAGATAGCAGGGTGTGAGGTCTTTAGATGCTTCCATCTCTTCATTGAAGTACGGTTAGAGGTCTTTTCCCCCGAACTCACTTGTGGATGGACAGAGAATGGATATTTCTAGGACATTTCAGTACTCAACTGTAAATGGTCACTGTCTTTCCCAATTTGGAAGCATTTTCCAGTTTGGAAGTATGTGTCAGGGGCCTTAAAAATACCCAAATCCTTGGCCTGTAACTCCAAGATGACTCCCCTAAAGTAATCAAAGGAAAGAAATATAGCAAAAGTTTACTGTAACCTTTAATAAAAAACAATTGACACAGCATACTCTAGCTAATTAAATAAATGAATGATTAGCTAAATGGCACAACTGTGTGAGAGAATATTTAGGCATGAGAGTGAGTTTCATTTTAACTTTTAATGACATGAGAAGCTGCTATATGTAATGTTAAGTAAAAACAAGTGAAATGCAGAACTGCTTACACAGTGTTGTTATTGAAGAGCCATCCATATCCCTTTATCTGCATGTAACAGGAAAAGATAAAACACCCTTGACATACTGTTGGTTGATCTGAGGCTATTTTAATATTTCTACTTTTCTCTGTTCCTCACTTTCAACATGTTTTACTTCTTCACCTCATGGAGGCCAAGGATGGCACAGAGGGTTAAGTGAATGCTCAGTGAATGACTGCAAGGTCGGCATTTCAAGCCACCAGAGGTGACTAGGAAGAGCAGCTTGGCAGTTGCCTTCTAAAACATCAGCCTTGAGACCCTGTGGAGCACAGTTCTGTTCTCACACACGACTCCAAGTCCACACAGTGGAGACTTCTTTTTTGTTTGTTTATATTCACTGCCCCCCCATCAACGGCAACAAAATGATCGCTCTATTAAAGCTGAAGAAAGTGAATCCAGCTAAGCTACAGGGCTCATGTTGATCCAATAGAATTCCTTCAAGACCCAGAGCCACCGCAGAATTTCTAGGGGAAGATAATGGTTAAACTGATGCTGCTTCTCTGGCAGACAGAAGCTCACTTGGTTACATGCAGTCGTATTTAACCTCGAAAGCATTATTTCCTTCTATTTGCAGGCCTGAGTGGACTTGTTTTTTCTCTCCCCAGGTTGCCTGTGGCTACGCACACACATTAGTATTAACGGATGAAGGCCAGGTGTACGCTTGGGGTGCAAATTCGTATGGCCAGTTGGGCACTGGCAATAAAAGTAACCAGTCCTATCCTACCCCTGTCACCGTGGAGAAGGACAGGTATGTGCATTTTTGCAAGAACCCTAGTGTTCTTTGGTGATTAAACAGGATTTAGACATGATCTGGGGTCCTGGGAAGTGTATTCCTAGGGTTAGAACAGTCTTGTTTTAACAGAACATTCATTTCCATGTTGGCTTTTAAGTTGTTGGGAAGGTTGGCTGTATGTTAAATATTCTGTTTTTCACTTTCCAGTGTTTCATCCATGTCTCTAACAGCTACTCTATGCAAACTATGGTAACTATACTGTCACGAGCGATTTCATATGACTCTCCTCCTTCACACACTGACCTTTTCTCTCCTCTTTGTCTCCTTTACTTCCTGAGAGGAAGTTGATGTGGATGAGATCTGTCTTCTGTGGCAGAGAGAAAGGAAAGTGCCTCAGGTGGGATAGATAGGCCGCCATTCAACTATTTAAAATTTTCCAGTGACAAAACATGGGGTTATTGCAACCCTCTAACGACCAAACTGTCTCTCTGAGGAAGAGTCAAATGGCTGAAAAAGTAACAGGTTTGTGCACTGATTTCCTGACTTAGTAATTTTTTCAGAGAAGAAAACATTTCATTATCTTTTCTTTTACGCCGAGTTACAGCAACTTCAGAAATTAATACTACTGGTTTTATCTCACATGCTAATTTTTGTTGTATTTGGTTTATAAAGAAATAGATAAATTGATAAATAGATGATCTTGTGTTTCTAAGCAATTCTGATGTTCTTCCCTTGGATTACATGAGTGAAAGTAAAAATTGTTCTTTTCCTACCACAGTAGTCAGTTTTCATTTGAGTATTGTGAACTTAGGTAATTTAATTTCATTTATGCTAAGTAAATTAAATAAAGCTGTTCCCCAACCAACCACACGTACACACACATAAAACACAACACGTAGGCACATCCAACTTAAAATAAGGATTGATGTTGTTGGAAAAGTAGTGTGGTTTGGAACTGGTGCAACTAGAATAGTGGTCTTGAAGATCTGAATCCGATCAGAAAATCACCTCCTGCTCACAAATGCCGTCAGTAGGGCCACTTCATATCTGGACAGAACAATCAGGAAGTAGTAAAGAATCAAATAAAAAAAATATACATGAAGGCAACATGGAAAGAAAGAAAATGATGTCTGTGTGGCACTTTACTATATTTACAAAGGGGTAAGAAGGTTCGCCTGCCTGGCTGCTAGCCACCAGTCAGCCCAAGTCCACCCAGAAGTGCGTAGGCAGAAAGGTGTGGCAATATTTCAGGAAATCAGCTATGGAAAACCATATAGAGCAACTGCTCTTCCTACACCCAGAGGCCACCATGAGGAGAACCTACTTGCTAACTGTTTCACACTTACCCTAAACTTGAACTCAGCTGGCGTGGGCTTCAGAATCCTCGGCCATCCACCAGGTGGGAGCGTGCCTCCTGTTACCCTGCTAATCACCGATGCAGAATGAGCACCCAGGTCTGGACCCTGCAGCCCGAGGAGGAATGGGGCAGCGAGGGGGAGGAGATGCTGCAGGCCTGTGAACCCCGTGAGAGCAAGCCCCCAACCGCTTACCTGATAACAGAGGGCAATGCTTTTCCATTCCAAATGTCAGAAAGTGGGGAACAGCTATATTCTCACCCACACATAGATGACTTTGGCTGTAACCATTATGAGTGAGTGTTTGAGTCAAATAATCCAGCTTTTCTCAGTTGTCCATGCTTCACTTTGCTATGACAACTCCTGAGCTTTCTGGTTTTGTCAAACCCTGTCACCCCAGTGGCACGTATTTCAAGGGAGCAGTGGGGGAGTCCGTGCTGAGACTTGTCCTGCACCCTGTCTGTGACTGAGCCTTACACACGCGCTGAGTTAGCTTGCGGGAAGGCTCCCTTCTGACTCTTGAGGCCGACTACCGTAAACTACACTAGTAAAAATGCAGGAGTGAGTCAGGGTAGAGTGGAGCTTCAGGGTTTGTTCGCTTTTCACAAGAAGGTAGGAAACAAAAAATCTGTCCATGCTGCATTCTTTTAAATTCACAGGGAACTCTTTTATCGCTCTCTGTAGAGAACTGTGGCATTTGACGTAACAGAAAGGCAGAGACTTAGTGACAGAGAGGAAGACCCTCAAACAGGTAGATTGACACTGTGACTGCCGCAGTGGGCTCTAGTGTTTCAAGAAGTGTGAGAACGGCACAGGACAGGACAGGGTTCAGAGCTGTTGTTCATAGAATCGCCGTGGGTCGTACTTGACTCGATGACACCTAACAACAATAGAGAACTATGTTTGTGAGAAAAAATACTAGTGTTCATCCTGCAGTGTGTTCACATTAGAGTCATTTCTGTAGGGAATGTAAATCATTTTTTTAATCTGCCCATCCACATCTGTAGAAGTCTCAAGTACTATGGTATGTTAATTTACCCTCATTTGTGTTGATAGTCTTAAATTTCCAGAAAAGCATATTTTAACTTGAATTGATTCAAAGCTGGCTTTGTCTTGAATTTTGGAAAATTTGATGACGCCAAACCCAAAACCCTTGCCATCATGTCAGCACATTCTCTCAGGAGCCTGGAGGATGGAGAGCTGTCCTGTCGGCTTTTTGAGGCTGTAATCTCTCTAGAAACCAAACAGCCTGTTTTTCTCATGCAGAGCAGCTGGTGCATTTGAACCACTGACCTTTTGGTTGGTGACTAAGCACTTTAAGCACTGCACTGGGATTCTTGCTGAGTTGTTGAGGTAATTGACAAAAAGATGAGCTTTTAGAGAACTTGGAGTAGGAATCACTGCCCTGGACCCTTTTTGGTTTTGTTTTGCAAACTCATAGGCAGCATGGAGAACAGTTATCTCTCTGAGTTCTGGATCGTCTCAGCATCGCTATGTCTTCTACGTCATTCGCTTCACAACATTACCTTCTCCTGCTTCCTTCTAAATCCCCTCTCACTCTGTTTTGGGGCTTGGGGGGGTTTATTTTTAAAAAAAATTCTGGTTCTTCAGAGCCACTCAGCTCTGTGGTTGCTTTGGATCATTCCATTGAGTTGACCTAAAACAGATCTGTTTGTTATGAACGTGTGGTCATTTTATAAAAAGATGTGACTACAAAACGTGATGTGAGATATGCCAGCCAGACATCCTGGTGGAAAAGGCTGCAGGTACGACTGAGTAGGCTGCCCTCCCCGCTCGGTGCCTGCTCTCTGTGGTGTGAATCAGATGTGGCAGCACGGGCTTGTTCCCCGCCAGCCTGTCCCAACCTGCAGGTCTCTGAGCTCTCCCCACCCTCCTTCCTGCAGCTGCTGTGTCAGCCCGCCTGGGCCCCAGCAGTGACTTCCCCTGTGGCTGACTGAAGGCTGGCAGGCACGCTCTCCCCTACCTTGACTCTGCTGGTGTCCCAGCCACTTTCCTGATCGCTGTCTCCACGGGGCCCCTCTGATGGCCGAGGTTGCTCCCCATCATGTAGTCAGATCATGAGAACTATTTCAGAAGTGCAGGATGAACGGCTGTGCACAGGCCTGAGGTAGAAACGATTTTTTCCTGTGAAAGCATTTTAACCATCAGGGCTCCTAGCTGAGTTGTGTTGGTAATTGGCAACACTTTGGGCTGTTGTCAGGGCGGAGAGCAGAAAAGGGCTCTATTATATTCTAGTCAGCTACACTTTTAAGTAGACTCTTGGCAGGAAAAAGGGAGTGTGAATCATCTTGGTGTCACTGGGTGGTGCAACGGTGGACTTGCTCAGAGACCAGAGGTTCCGTTCACCCAGAGGCACTTGGAAAGAAGGTCAAACAATCCACTTTGAAAGAATCAGCCAGTGAAAAGCCCTGTGAGTGGTTCTGCTCTGGCACAAGGGCTCCATGATTTGGTGACTGATTGACTGGGTTGTCACTTGAAGTGATCTCTCAAAGGGCACAGTATTTACCTGGATTTTTAAAACCCATGTTTAGTAGCTAATTGACTCATAAGGTGACACTGAGTTGGAATCAACTTTCTGGCTGTGAATGTAGTAGGTCCTTGTGGAAGTGTGTAAATTTGAAAAGGGCAGAATTGATGAATTGATATTTATCTAAGCCTTGCTTCTTGGACTCCTCACCTCCCCATAGAATGCTAGGTTGTTTTAGAACTCATCCGTGTAAATCTGTCAGCTGGAATTCTGAAAAAAGTGGTGAGGAAGAGAGTTAAAGCCCCAGAGCTCACCGACTCTGAGGTTCAGAGTTCAAGTAACTGAGGTGGCAAAATCGAGATGAGGGACTTTGCTTGGGAGGAAATAGAGTGGCCTGTCTTTGAATCTGTGTGATATCTTAATGACACAGAAAAGTGACTTAATTCCAAAGCAACAACATGCTGCTCTCCATTAAGAAGTATTCTGAGAGTGGCCTGCCAGCCAGTCATGAACTTACAGCACCAGAGTCTACACGTGTGATCCTTAAGCATCACTCGGTTGGGCTCTTGATGATACAGCCTCCAGGGGTCTGCACAGTTCTCTCACTTCCGTGTGAGCTGGGCAGCTGCCATGTGACCCTCCTTCAGTCACAGAGGTGAAGTTCTCACCTACTCGGTAACTTACTGGCCCTATGTCAAGATGGCCCAAGCCTACCCACTTCATTAAGTAGTGTCTTCAGAAAAGCATCTACGTTACGTCTCTTTGTTTTGTTTTGACTCTTCTTTGACTGAAGTTCCCAAATGGAATGGGGGACACTTGTGTAGACTTGTTGGCAGATTTTCCTGAAGTGCCATCGGACTAGTGTTTAAGTATCAGTTACAGTCGGGGGTGGGGGGGAGTGTGACAGTTTATGAGATTGGATTACGTCCATGCTGTCTCTCTCGTTTCCTTGGTGTTTGTGAATTCAGAATCATCGAGATTGCCGCCTGTCACTCCGCCCACACCTCTGCTGCCAAGACCCAGGGCGGCCACGTGTACATGTGGGGCCAGTGCCGGGGCCAGTCGGTCACTCTGCCTCACCTCACCCACTTCTCCTGCACGGACGACGTCTTTGCCTGCTTTGCCACGCCTGCCGTCACATGGCGCCTCCTCTCCGTGGGTGAGCTGGTGGCTGGGCATCAGGACGAAGAGGTCTTATTTTGTTTTAAATGCAGTTTCTTCTAGTGCGTTACCTCCTCAGTGGGCTCTGTGGAAGGCAACTAATTTGATTTATTTTCTTTATAAAGTGTCCGAAACTAAACACCTATACAAAAAGGAAAAGCCATTCTTTTTGATAGCTTTACAGTCTTGATGGGAAACAACTTTGTTTTTATCTGATGTGTTTGCCCAGATAATAAGAATTGTCTTCTGTGAGGTAGTGTGGGACTTTCAGTTGCTGTTTTTGCTATTTCGCTATGAGCCCTAGGTCAAGATGCCCCAAAGAAAACCATCCCTGTGAGGTTCTCAGTATTGATGGCAGAGATGCTGATCTGCTTAGGAAAAGCATGTTTATGGTGTCATTATTCTATTGTTACCGCACTGATTACAGGGAATCGGCATTTTCAGAGGCCTCTCCTGCTCCTTTGTTGTTTTTATGTGCTGTCCTCTAAATCGCCTGGGAAAGGATGGACCAGTTTTCTCCCACAGAGTAGCTGGTGGTTTGGAACCGCTGGCCTTTGCGTTGGCTGCATAAATCCTTACCTCTAAGCTACCAGAGCTATGCTGTGCCCTAGTCTACCTTTTCATTGTATCTGTAGCTGATTCCAAACCCATTCCTGTCACTCTCAGAGCCCGACGACCACCTCACCGTGGCTGAGTCACTGAAGAGGGAGTTTGACAACCCTGACACTGCAGACCTGAAGTTTTTAGTAGATGGAAAGTTCATTTACGCACACAAAGTTCTTCTCAAAATTAGGTAAGGAATGCATTTCTGAGAATTGCAAGAAATCCGTTCATTCTCTGGTACTTATTTTCTAAGTTTCCAGGAAGCAGCATTAGGTGCTTCAGTCATAATGAAAGGTGTGAAGCTGTATCTTTGCCCTTAAAAGCTGTCCTGCAGCTGAGGGAAGTGCTTCGTTCACAGGAAACAAGAACAGAAAGTAGGCCTTTTGAAGGCACAGAGCCTTCCGGGTTCTCCACGAGTCGGCCTGCACCGGCCTAGAGACTGGGAAGCTGGCAGTGGGTTACATGTTTTGGATTTAGAACTCTGTATGAAATTCTTCATCACGAGGAACTTCTCTAACTGGGTAAACTTAATTCAGCCATAACCGTCAACTGTTGTCATCACTGGTGGGCGTACGGCACTCCTGAACACTTTAAAAATAACAGCAAAAACCATGATGGCTTTGCCTGAGCAACAAGAGATGAGCTGAACTAACATGGAGATTTCCTTTTTTAAATTACTTAAGCTGCATTTTTGGAAGGAGGAGTGACATCCACTTCCATAATAACTTGCCTCCGGGAAGCCCTATGAACCTGGAGAGAGGATGAAAGGCACCCAAGCGTCAAGGACACTCCTTCATAGGGTCACTATGAGTCGCCTGCGACTCGACGGCACTTAACAACAACAAGCTGCGTTTATGGTGGCAAACCTCATATGCCATGAATTGTAGACCTTGTACATGTGCAGTTTGAGGCGATTCGGAGATCAGGCCTGTGCAACCCCTGCCAGAGTCAAGACCCCACCCACTGTGGGCTCTTTGAGGCCGCTCCTGCCTCTTTGTTGTCCCTCCTTCCCTCAACGTCATGGCCACTGTGGATGAGTTAGTATTTCGTAGAATTTGGTAGGAATGGCATCAGAAAGCCTGAATTTTTGTCTCTTTCTTCTTCACACATAGTGCAAGGATTTTGAAATTAATGCACAGTGTACAACTGATGTTTGAGCCCCACTTCAGTGTATTACAAGCCCAACATACATTTCACTCTCTAGTTCACCTCTCTGCGAGGGCAGGCTGTATAGCATTTGTTCGTTGCTGTCACAGCACAGAAAATTCACAAGGAAAACTGTGTTCCTCAGATTGTATAAAGCAGCCCTACTGCTTTCTCCCAGTGCTCATGGATGTGGGGGGGCCTTGTTGTATAGGGTAGGGGAGTGCTTACAGTCTTGGTGAGCAGGGGAGGTGAAGGGTAAGGACATGAAACTCCAGTTTCCTGAGAATCAGGGGTGAAGCTGGGGGTTTTCCTTTCCCGTCATTTCTGGTATCCCTGCTGGACCCCGGTTTCTCTTTTTTTTCCCTTAAGGTGTGAGCATTTTCGTTCTTCATTGGAAGACAGTGAGGATGAGATTGTTGAAATGAGTGACTTTTCATACCCAGTGTACCGGGCCTTCCTGGAATACCTGTACACTGACAGCATCAGCCTGGCCCCCGAGGAGGCCGTAGGTAAGGACTGCAGGCCGCTCACCTAGCAGGGGCCAAACGCTGAGGGCCTGGAAGGAGCTTTCTGACCAGCCTGGAAGGGCACTGTGACAGAAGGCCGGGAATTTCATTTTCTGTGTTGGGACCAAGCTTCTCCCTATTTCTGCTTCATACAAAGATGAGCTGATAAAGAGAGATCCATGAACTGTCCAAACATTATTGCTTTGGAGTGGGTGCTGTTGTTGTTTAATTACTCTAAGTGGGAGTTTCAAGTCCACTTAGAAACCCCTTGAAGAAAAGCTTGGTCTCTTGAGAAATATCAGCCACTGAAAATGCCATAGACCACAGCTTTCCTCTGACGGACATGTGAGGTCAAGGGAGTCAGAGCCCATGTGTGGCAGCTGGTTTTGTTTTGGGATTTCTTGGTTGGGGGTTTTGTTGGTTTTGGTTTCTTTTTAAAGGAGGCATATATGGAGGCTTGAAGATATTTTCTCTGTCCTTTTTTATTCCTCTTTTTTTTTAAATAAAAAAAGATGGACATTGCTGCCACATGGACTTCTGCTTATGGAAATGACTGCTGTGTAGACATACTGGTAACCCAGATGAGCGATAACTACAGAAGCACTTGTTTATTCTCCAGGAAAAATATCAAAGCCATTTTCAGTGTGCCCCTATTTAACAACAGTTGCGTTACATTTTACACACACACACACACACACACACACACAAAGATTCTACACTTGATCTTAGCTAAAAGGTTGAGAAGCGATATATTGAATTAGCTCAGTTTTGCTGGGTGTTCTTATAGGAACAAACATTCAAATGAAGTATCTATCTTTGTTTCATTTTCACAACTTGTAATTAAGCTGAAAATTATCCAAAAATATTTGGAACAATATGTCAACAGAGAACTGTGAGATGTTCAGGCTGGATTTAGAAGAGGTCGTGGTACTAGGGATATTATAACTAATGTAAGATGGATCTTGGCAGAAAGCAGAGAATACCAGAAGAATGTCTATCTGTGCTTCATTGACTATGCAAAGGCTTTTGACTGTGTGGATCATAACAAACTGTGGCTGACTCTGAGAAGAATGGGAATCCCAGAACATTTGATTGTGCTAATGTGAAACCTATACTTGGACCAAGAGGCAGTCGTCAGAACAGAGCAGGGAAACATTGGATGGTTCAGAATCAAGAAAGGGGTCCGTCAGGGACGTATTTTGTCTCCATACCTTTTCAATCTGTATGCAGAACAGATCATCTGAGATGCTGGGCTGTACGAGGAGGAAAGTGGCATCAGGATTGGTGGAAGAATCATCAACAATCTGCGTTACGCGGATGACACAACCCTGCTTGCTGAAACTGAGGAGGACCTGAAGTGCTTGCTGCAGAAGGTCAAGAACTGCAGTCTTCAATATAGATTGAAGCTCAAAATCAAGAAAACAAAGATTCTCACCACTGGGCCAATTGGCAGCATCAGTAAGGATGGTGAAGAGATTGAGATAGTTAACAGTTTTCGTTTACTTGGTTCCACAGTCAACAGTCTTGGTAACAGCAGCCAGGAAATCAGGAGACGAATTGCATTGGGAAAGTCAGCTGTGAGGGACCTCTCAAGAGTACTGAAGTGCAACAACATCAGGCTGGAGACTAAGGTGCGCCTGATCCAGGTTATAGTCTTTCTTTCCAATTATGTGCTATGCATTGGAGAGTTGGACAGTGAATAGGGATGATAGAGAATTTATGCCTTTGGGTTGTGGTGCTGGAGAAGAGTGTTGAATATACCATGGACTGCTAGGAGAACAAACAGGTTTGTCCTGGAGAGGGTGAAGCCAGAATGTTCCCTGGAGTCAAGGATTGTGAAGCTTTGTCTGACATACTTTGGGCATGTTGCAAGGAGGGACTGGTCCTTGGAGAAGGGACATCATGTTTGGGAGAGTGGAGGGACGGCACAGGAGAGGAAGACCCTCGATGAGATGGATCGATTCTGTGAGTGGAGTGGTGGGAATGAATGTGTTTGAGACAGCAAGGTTGGCACAGTATAAAACGGCATTTAGGGCTCTTGTACATAGGGTTGCTATGAGTCGCAAATGACTCGATGACACATAACAACAACAATCATTAAGTTTATTAAAAATAATTAAAGATTATCTGAACAGTTGAGAGAGTTTCAATCAGAGTGTTTGAAATCACTGGCCTTAATAAATGTCTCTTTCCACTAGGATTGCTAGATTTGGCTACATTTTATAGAGAAAATCGTTTGAAAAAGCTCTGCCAACAAACCATCAAGCAAGGAATCTGTGAGGAGAATGCCATCGCTCTGCTCTCGGCAGCTGTGAAGTACGACGCACAGGTGAGACAGACAGGCCCTACACCAACGTAAGCCCAAGGTAGATCAAAGGGTTAATGTAAAAAAAAAAATACAAACACCATCATTTGTCAGCCCATCCGTTTGTTCATGGACATTTGGGCTGTTTTCCGTTTTCTTGCTGTGAATACCACTGCTACAAACACTGGAATACAAATCTCCAGTTTGCGTCTCAATGCTGTTTTCCTTCCGGTACAGTCCCAGCGGTACAATAGCTGAATCATATGGTATTTCCATGTTCAGCTTTTTGAGAAAACACCAAACTGCCTTCCAGAGTGATTGTACCATTTTACAATCCTACCAGCAGTGTAGATTGGGATATTATGGTATGTTCACACAGTGGAATCCTATGCAGCACTAAAGAATGATGATCTCATAAAACATAACATGGGAGGGTCTAGAATGCAGTATGCTAAGTTAACCAACTCAGTCTCATAAGGATACATACTGCATACGACCATTATTGTAAAAATAGAAGGATAACTAGTAAGATATATGTAAAAGTCCAAAAGGTGAAGGGGGGTGGGTGGGTAGGAGGTGGGTGTGTAGAGTGTGGGGATGGGGAGAAATAACTGTGATCAGAGTTTGGTGGGCAAGGGAGAGGGTGGAGGAATTATAAAAGATCCTGACACAGTGAACATGAGTGAAACATAATGTATACAAATTATTTAAGCAAACCAATACACAATTTGAAACAGTGTGTGTGTGTGTGTGTGTGTGTGTGTGTGTGTATAAAATGAAGCAACAAAAGAACTGGAAAATATATAAGTAAATCTGTGTATAATGTTAGGGTTAAGGAAGATAGAGCTGATTTCAAAAAAATTTAGAAATCTATCACAACAGATTTTTTTTTTTACAACAGATATTTTTTGCATACATCAAAAAACAGCAATACCGAGAGAATGAGATGGAGGTGTTAGACACTAAAAACTAGACCGGAAACTAGAACTCTTAGAAACTTCTAACAGTAAGAAACTATTCAAAGCTAGAGTTAACGTATGGTTCTTAAACCCAAACAGAAACCCCATATTAATGTTATGGTGTGTACCATCGAGTCGGAATCAACCCACAGTTGACCCTTCAGCAGGTTTTCCGAGGCAGTTAATCACATGGGAGGAGATTGCCTATCCTTTTTCCACAGAGGAACTGGTGGATTCAAACCATATACCTGCAGGATTTGTGGTGCAACTTCTTACCACTTGGCCTTCAGAGCTCCCAGAGACCAAGAACAAATGAATCTCAACAAATGACTTTTTGTTTGTCAAAAGTAAGGAATAATGTCTTTTGATATAATGTACCGATTCTGAGTCATAGAGACCCAGGTGACAGAAAGGACCTTCCTGAGGTTGTGGGGTTCCAGGAGCGGCCCAGCCCCCTGGGTCTTTTTTCTGGCAAAGCCCCTGATGGGGTGGAGTCACCAGCCTTGCGGTGAGCAGCCCTTGTGCCACAGTATCAGAAAACCAGGCATTTCCCTAAACTGCTGATGAGAGTGCGTATGTATAGTGAAACAGCTTTTCTGAAAAGCCTTTGATAATACACAGTAAAGGCCAGAGAGTAAGAACTCTTGAACTGAGGAACTCACTGACAGGAGTTTATCTTAAGAGATTTAACTTCAGAGATACTCACTGCAGCAGCATTTATAATTTTGAAAATTTATAAAAAGTTAATATTAACAGTAGAGAATTATTTAAGCTATAGAATGTCAGTGTGAAATTATGGAGCTATTAAGGTAGGTCATTAAGTGAAAAGTTTGATCTTTTTTTAAGTATTGGTATATAATTCATTATCTTCATTTAAAAGAAATAAAAAACTGGAAGTATCACAGTGATTATTTGTATAGTGGGATCAGGATTAGGGGTAGTTTCATCTCCCTCTCTTTGCTTGCTTAGGTCTTGGAACCTTCTGCAGCTGCTGAGTATTGTTTTAATAATGAAAGGACAGAAAATATTCCTTAGGAATATTTAGGAAATAGGCATCATGTCTCAGAGTTATCAGTCAGTTTCCTTTAGGCTGTAAGGATATGTCAGAAACCAGAACACTTTTGGACAGATGACAAAAAAGCTTATAGCTGTTGTTTCTTCTGCTTATATAAGTAATATGCTTACTAGCAAAAATGTGGAGACTCCCAGAAGTCTGAGGAAGGAAATAACTCATCTGTCAGAGAGCGTGAAGGCTTTCACCCGGCAACTTCTGTTTCCTAGGTTACATCCGTGTGTGTGTGTGTGTGTGTGTGTGTGTGTGTGTGTGTGTGTTGACTTCAAGACTAGAGTTTTTTCAGTTAACATTTTAAAAAATCAGAAGGAAGAGTTTTTTTGAATGAGTATCATAGTTGTGATAAGAATGGCGGATGCTAGATGCATACTGCCGATGTTGAGATGACAGCATTCACTGTCCCTTCAGATCAGGCTCATTTCTAAGGCTTTTCAGTATTCCCTATTTAGGGAAATTATTTCTATGATAACGCAGATTCTGTTTCCTGTGATGGTAGTTACTGGAGGGGTGGCAGAGACTTTCTTGTCTGTGTGTCTAGCTTAGTGGAGTAGATAGTTCATTGTTCATTAAATGTTTGATGAATGTTCAACTTGGGACACAGAGATTCAGTCTTGTAGAGGCACTGTTTGACTGGAGTCTGACAAGTTTACAACTGTACCTCAATTTACTATACCAGGCTATAAGCAGACAGATTAATGTATTACTGTAAAATAAGTTTTTGTAAAGAGGAACAGTGGCTTGTGTGCCCTGCTGCTAGCAGAATGGTTGGTGGTTCAAACTCACTAGCCACTTCACGAGAAAAAGCTCTAGCCACTTTTTTCTATAAAGATGCCAGCCTGCACACCTCATGGGATAGTTCTGCTCTGGCCCATGTGAAGACTTAACAACAATACAGAGGAGTATGTTTAGTTAAGGGAGCTCTGGTGGCCTAGTGGCAAGAAGCTGTGCTGCAATCCCAAAGGCTTACAGTTCAAATCCACCAGATGCTCTGCTGAAGAGAGAGAAAAAATCTCCTCCTGTGCCAGTCCAATCTGATTTGACGGTACACAGCAAGGGGGTTGGAGGTGGGGGGCAAATAACGTAAAATAAAATAAAAAATAGTTAAGGGAGGTCTAGTGGTTTAATGGGGCGATGGGGCTTGGTGTGTCAGAATTAGTGAGACTGGCTCAGGACAGGTAAGCATTCAGAGCTGCTGTACATAGGGTCGCTATGCATTGCAGGTGACTCAACCAGTAACATTCTGTGACAGGTTTGGAAGCAGGAGTGGCATCCACTTCCTAAACAGCATGCCTCTAGAAACTCTATGACCTTTGATAAATGTCGATAGTTGCAGAGGGGCTTCAGGCCTTTTGTTCATAGGGCTGCTATGAGTCGTGCTCGACTCGAAGGCAATCAACAACAAGAGTGGGCTAATAGGAAAGGAATTTTGCTGCCAACCCAAAAAAACATTCCGTTTGAGTCCACCAGCTGCTCTGCAGGAGAAAGATGAGTAATTTCCCATGGGAGTTGCTGTTGTTGTTGTTTACCATAGAGTCAGAGGTGACCCATAGCCGACTCTCTGGCAGATTTTTCAGAGGCAGTTACTTGCATGGGAGAAGATGGCCTTTCTTTCTCCAGCAGAGCAAGCTAGTGGATTCGAACTGTGTGCCTTTGGGATTGCAGTGCAGCTTCTGGCCACTAGGCCACCAGAGCTCCCTCCCATGAGATTTACTGCCTTTGAAAACCTGTTGGAGGGTGAATTATGCATTTGTTCTGACTTGATAGTGCATAACAACAAAAACAGCACTTTGTGTATAGTATGAGCCAGGGGTGGTTCTAAGCCATTTATATCTCATTTAATTCTTAAAACAATCTTGGAAGATGAGCCTATGCAGTAGATAACACAGGTGGAATGTCTTCCTTGGAATAACCAATCATATGAGGTCCTAAGGACAACAATGCTAAAGCTTGGACGGCAGGAAGGAGTAAGAGAAATGAGTTCATGAAAAGTAGAATCTTGTGGCTTCGTGGTAAAGCATTGCCCAGCCAGCCCAGCCTGACGGCTCGGCACATGGTTCAAATCCTCCGGATGCTCTGCAGAAGGAAGGCGGGCAGTATCTTCCTTGTGGGATTTACTACATCTGAAAACTCACTGGAGGGTCAGCCATGAGTCATTTCTGACTTGATGGTAGACAGCAGTAACAGAATCAGGAAAAGGTCGGAAGACTGTTGTTGTAATGTGGGGACTAATAATCAGTGTCACAAAACAAGATGTTTGGACAATTGTTGAATGGAAGCCAGTTTGCTCTGTGAACTTTATGTCAAGTATAAGAATGTTTGCTTTTTTATTTTTTAATAAAACTTTGTAAGAAAGAACCTCGTCAATCTCAATTCACAAGTGAGGATGCTGCGGCTGAAGAGATTGAGGAAATTCTTAATAAGACAGCAAATTGCAGAGCTAGAACGCAGTCAGATTACACAAAGTTCAGACTTCACTTTTTATGACAATTCTTTCTGGTTGATTCGGAACTGACTCATGGCTGAGCCTCCAGCACGTTTTCTGAAGCTGTGAATAGAACGGAAGGAGATGGCTCATCTTTGTCCCACAGAGCGGCTTGTGGCCTCGGCCACTCCTTACCCACTCGGCCACCAGCGCTGCTGTACAATCCTCCGGTGCCCCGTGGTTTATGATCGGCAGGATTAATTCATTGACTCATCGCTTAGCTCCTGTTGCCTGTCGTCACTGTTTGGGGCACTAAAGGTAAAAGAAGTGGACAGTGCAGACCAAATCCTCTGCCCTCCTAGAACTTCCTTTCTGGTGAGGGGAAATGGACAAGAAATAGGGAGTGTGTTTGTCAGACAGGAACAAATGATATGGAAACAAGTCATAAAAGAGAGGAGGGTGCCAGGCTGAGGGAAGGGAGAAATTTTAAGTTGAGGTGAGCAAGGTGAGTGTGGGTTGGGCCAAGAGAGGTTGGGGTATAGCAGAGGGTGTTGGAGGGACCCCATGGCAGGCAGGGTGGCAGCCTTCAGAGCCCAAGAGGTAGCATGGTAAGGAGTTCAAGTTCTGCTCTGAACGCTGAAGCCTGGGAGGGTTTGAGAGGAGCCCACGTGATCTGACTCTGGCGGCCGTGTTGAGTCCTGGAGGCTGGAAGGAGATGTTTAGTTAGGAGGTTATAATCCAGCGGGAGGTGGTGTTGTCTCTAACTGAAGACATTTACACTTCAGTTTGTGTACAAAAGACACTCGTTCTCCAATCCCTCTGGAGACACTGATGAGCCAGTGTCTGTCTTGTACACTGTCAGGTGTTGTCAGTGAGCCATTTTCTTTCTAGATCAAGTGCTGTGATGTCAGCTGAGGTTGTGGGATTGACACGCGCTACCCCAAGCCCACCTGGCACTGCGGCTGACCCAAGGGGCCTGCCCAGCCCCAAGGAGGGAGAAAAGAAACAGGATTTTCCTCTTGTAGTGGATTTCTTTGCTTGGAAGGAAACGTATTATGGATCTAGGAGTTCAGTTCGCTATGTTCCTCTCTCAGAGGTTGGCAGTTTGGTCCCACCCAGCAGAGCCTCAGGAGACAGGCCTGACCGTCGGCTCCTAGAACACCAGCGCTGGGAGCCTGCGGGGGACACAGCTCTATGTGTGCGTGTGTGTGGCTCCACGCATGTGGGGTCCCTTGAAGCCTGTGGGGGGTCATGGCTCCATGTGTGTTGGCCCCACGAGTCGGCACTGACTGCATAACAACTGGTTAATGTGTTGTCTGAAGATGAAAACCAAAAATTTGCTGGGTGTAATGATCTCTGGTGGCCTAGTAGTAAGAAGCTGCGATCCCAAAGGCACAGAGTTCGAATCCATCAGCTGCTCCATGGGAGGTAGATGGGGAGAGTCTTCTCCCATGCCATTGATTGCCTCTGAAAACCCCCAGGAGGGTGAGTACAACAACAACAACAATGGGCGTATATAGTCACTTGGTTATTTTTTGAGGCTTTATTTTTCAAAATTAGCTTCAGTGTTATCAGAGAGCAAACTTTAAAAATTGCCCCTCCCCTGGTCGCACCTTGTCTTGTGTCCCGCTGGCCCTGTAGCCGGGGTCTGGGGCCCACGGCCAGGTTTCCCTGGGCCACCTTCCCTCTGACCTCAGACGTATAGCTGTGGTCTGGAGCGGTAAGCATGGCAGCACTTTCCTTGGGCCCAGGCTGCATCACAACAAGCCAGAGCTTTCCAGTCTGTAGCTTCTCTTGCCAAAGAGCCTGGAAAATGAGGACTCCGAAAAACATTTTGCTGAGGAATATTAGTGATTATGTGTGGTCGGGTGGAGTCCAGGCCCCTCTGTCTCCTTGTGAAGGCAGAAGAGCATTGTTCTTGTAATGAGAAGTAGTGAGGGCCAGCATTGCTCTTTCTTGTGACAGACCATTTTATTCTCTATTCTTTACGCTTAGAAACCTTTATCGCATCCAGGGTCACGTGAGGGAGCCTTGGCTGTGGAATCCGTGGGGAGTTATGCTGCTAACCCAGAAGGGTGAGCCCCACAGACGCTTCAAATCCACCAGCAAAACTCATCTGGAGAAAGACGGGCAGTCTCCTCCAGTGCAGTTTATAGCCTCGTAAACCCAAGGTGGGGGGAGTTCAGCTGTGAGTCTGACTGGACGGCAGTGAACATGAGTATGAGAGGAATATAAAAGAGGGCACTGTGCATTTAACACTTGGCAAAAGTGGAAAGGCTATGCAAATGATGATTAGGGAAAGGTGCAGGGAAGACTTGCACTTAGGAGCCTCTCTCCGGAAAGCAAAAGTGAGCTTATTCGCATTAGCTAACAGGGAAGATCTTGAGCGTTTTCTCTTGTGTGCTTTACGTTTTCATGGCGTGGGTTCCCACGCAGCAGATGCTAGGCGCCACACTGGAGCTGTCACTACACAGCCTTTCTTTCTCCTGACTCACTTCTCCTCGTGGCTTCTGTCCGTGCGTACTTTCGAGTCAGAACTGACTCATGGTTGACCGCCCAGCACATTTTCAGAGGCTTTCACTCGCGTGGGAGTAGATTACCAACCTTTCTCCCATGGAGTGGCTGGTGGATTTGAACCTGGGCCGTAGGATTCACAGCACCACTTCTTCCCATTGGACCACCAGCACCCCTTTCTGGCTAGAGAGACCTTTCCCCTCGCTGCCTCACGTGAGGACTGTGCATGCTGTGTATGTTGTGTCATCACGTTGGGACGTGCTGCTTTGCTAAGTCATTATCGTTGTTGTTCTTCCTAGGACTTGGAAGAATTCTGCTTCAGATTTTGCATAAACCATCTGACTGTAGTAACACAGACTTCAGGTTTTGCAGAAATGGACCATGACCTTCTGAAGAACTTTATCAGTAAAGCAAGTCGAGTTGGAGCTTTTAAAAACTGACCACCTGTTGTGCCTCTCCGTGGCCCTATGAAAAAAGCCAGAGAATAACATCTCTTTAATCAACCTTAATTATGAAAAGTGTGGTAAGGGACGTCCAACTGATGATTGTATCCAGTGGCCCAGAAAAAGGCCGGTGGCCAGCCTTCCCCATCTGCTGACGCCCAGGTTAGCTTGAAAGTATTAAAAGCTCTGATGAGATGTGACTGCGTTCAAATGAAAGGACTTTAAAAGGTCTTCCTTCATTTAGCATTTCCTCTTTTGAATGATTTTTACCTTGGACACCCTTTGATAGATTGGTCTCCATGTACTGGATTCTGGACAAATGGCCCATCATGCATGTGGCTGGCAACACAAGCTGTCAGTGTCCAGCACGCGCCTGGCACGGGATGGAAACATGCTTCACTTGTTTTTCTGAGAACAGCCTTCGCTGTGGGATACCAGTGAAAGCATACTCATTTATACATGCTAAATTAACAGCCTGTTTTTATTGAGGCTCAGATCCCTGTGGTTCATTGTTCTGAGAGCAGTGGCTAATTTAGAACAACTGATTAGAATTCACAGCCGATCTTGGCAATTAAGGTATCAAAGGCACAAGGGCTAATTTTCATTTTCAGTTTACTGAGTCATTAATTCCTCATGCAGGGATGTTGAATATGAAGTCCTTTCCGGGTGAGTGTTATTTCTGGGCTCACCTACCTGTTGTTGCATAATGTCTTTAGTTTCTTTTCTGTGTCAAGAAGGATTTTCATCTGTAAGTTAAAATAATTATGTGATTTTTTTTAACCTGGACTCAGTATCATTGTAAAGTACTAGCAGAAAAGAATCACTAACATATTTCACGACAGCATTCACACTTATACTTGTTATATTACAACAAGTGGTCCAACTGCAAAAGAGAAACTGGAATGGCCTATAGTTATTAGATTTTTCCAGTACTATCCCATATGCTGTCGTGTAAAGAAAAACCTTGTTCTGATGCTGAACTGTTTGATAATAAAGTGCTTATTTGCAGAAAATAGAGCAAATGTGTAGATTTGGTTTTTGAGTCCCAAGGCTGACGGACTTCCTGCCATCGAGCTTGAACTGAATCCCAGCGGACTCACCTCCAGCAGGATTTCAGAGGCTGTAATTGCACAGGGGAAGATTACCCACCTTGTAGATCGAACTACCTACCTTTGCATAGGAAGCACCTCCTGTTACCCACTAGGCTTTTGGGGCTACCAAAGAAGTGGCAAAATAATAAGATAATGTGTCTTACGTGTTTACAAGTGTATCTGAATTTGTTTTAAAATCAGCTACTTGGGTAAGGTCTCATAGCAAATCCCACCCTAAAATATAAATGGCTTATTAGCAACACATAATTACTGTGATGTTATTACCCATCCATGGTATTTACTAGTGAGGTTACATTTTTATTTTTTATAAAATTTTTATTTTATACTGGTTTACTTCCAAAGTTTGTATGCAGTGTTTTTCACACCTGATCTTTCCCATTTCCTTAACCCTCCACTCATCAAATTGTGATGACCCTCCTCCCCCCCCCCGCCTATCCTTACACCTCTGCTCCCACCCTCCCCTCCTTTGATCCTCATATACATTTTACTAGTTATCTATTTCTACAATAATGGTCTTACACAGTATTTGTCCTTATGGGACTGAGATAGCTCACTCAGCATAATGCGTTCCAGTCCCTCTCAAATGATGTAGTGATTTACAAAATCATTGCTCTTACATGCTTTGTAGTATTCCAGCGCATGACTATACCATAATTTTTTTTTTACTTTTTTTCCTTTTTTTATTGGGAAAAACATATTGGGGGTATAAGGAGGTGAGGGTTGGGGGCAGAAAGGTGAGGATGGGCCAGGATGCAGTTGCAGAGCTACACAGTTTGGTTGGTGGGGGGAGCAGGTGAAGGAAATGATGAGGGTCCAGAGGGGACCAGATACTATAGAGGAATGACAAGCATTTTCCAATGGTAATTAAACCAACTGTCTTATTGATTTGGGAATTGGATGCCGACTCTCTGGCTTCTTCATGCTGAACAGGGGTGTAGATATAAAGGGGGGAAGGGAGGACGCTTTATCACCTTACTGGTGGTCTTGGGTTAAAGCTGCTTGCCTTCTTGCTCTGTTAGAAGATATTTTCCTGTCATTTGCTCCCCTCTGGACTGCAAAGTGTTTTCCCAGGTGGGTCCAGTGGGGATGGCTGGTTGAACCCAGAGGCTCCATCCTCCTTTGCTTCCTTAGCTGTCAGTTGTATTTCCTTTTTGTCACTGGCACTGGGTTCAGGGTCAATTCTGGAGTAAAACTCAGAGTTAAGGTTACCTATAGGAAAGGGAGCAAACCTAGAGAGAACAAACTTGTGAGTTACAAATAGAAGGGCTTTGAGGGTGTTGCTTTCAGGTTTACTGGGGGGGGGAGGGTGGCAGAAAGTGGCCTAGGTAAACATTCTCTGGATACCCTAGGCATTCTTTTTTTTTTCTCCTTCCCCACCCAGGGGTCAATCTGGGGACAGTGGCACAATCTGGGGACTGAGGAGCTCACCCTGAGGGCCGCGACAGCTCACCCCGAGCCGAGGGCCGAGGGCAGCCCGCCCCGGGCAGAGGGCGACTATACCATAATTTTTAAAAAAAAGAAACAAATCCCAAACTTACTTAATCCTTGCTATCTGTCCCAAGCTCCATGTATCCACTAATCTCGTGTCTCAGGGAATTTTCTAGTTGGAGATATTTCATGGAAGTGGAATCTACAATATTTGCCATTTCATATCTGCCTTGTATCACTAAACAGAATGTTTCAAGGTTTATCTATATTGGATCATCTTCCAGAACTTTAATCTGTTTTTATGAATTTATGTAATAATATTCCAGCAGTGTTATACTCAATTCTTTTGAGAAGCAGAACCACTGGAATTGTTGTGTACCTCATATAGAAAAACACAGGTTTACATCAAGGGAATGACTCAAGCATCTGTTGTTGTTAGGTGTTATCAAGTCAACTTCATCATATAGCGACCCCATGGTCAGTAGATCTAAACCCTGCTCTGTCTTCATCCACCCCTACCATCTCTGGCATACGTGAGCCCCTTGTTGGAGTCACCATGTCAATCCGTCTCATTGAGGGCCTTCATCTTTCCCTGACCCTCCACCTTTCCAAGCATGATACTTCTGGTATTCTCTGCTTTTAACCAAGATCCGTCAGCAATAATATTCCTTGTGCCATGGCTTCTCCTAAATCCAGCCTGAGTTTCTGGCAGTTCTCTGTCAACGTACTGTTTTAGCCATTTTTTTTTAAATTTTATATTAGTTTATTTACAAAATTCAAATACATTTTCTTTTTTTTTTTAATCACCAAAAGATAAAGTAATATTTAATAATAATAAGATGGCCAGAAAAACATGGCAAGTATAAATCTGTATGTGTTTAAACAAAACAATTTTTAAATTCAAAATTTTGTCAACAAAATTGACAAAAGAATAAATAGACATAACAAAAGTTGAAAATTAATGCTATTCTCTAATTGCAAAGTAGTTATTTTTTAGTATATATTCTTTTTTTAATTTTAATAATTTTAATGAGCATTTACAGAGATTTTAGATTTCCATTCATTCATTGTTGCACTTTTCTCCCTGCCCAGCCCTCCCCCCTACTCCCCCCTGCCCTAGTTCACTGCTCTCTTTGAATAGTTAACTTTTTAACGTTGATGTGCACAACACTATCAACCACCTTGACCTAATTGTCATTTGTAGAATACACTATCCAACAACCATGTTCCTCTATTGTTTAAAGAGTTTTCAGAAATTGATCCAACAGAATGTAGAAATTATCAAACAATATTATTAATATCACATGCAAGAAAAATATTGCTGAAGATCATAAGAATGGTACATTGACCAAGAAATATCAAAAGTTCAAGCTATGTTTAGGAGAGGCTGTGGCACAAGGGATA